GCAAACGGATCCGTTTGGTCATGATTCGCAATCGGATCGGAAACGGAGCTCGTGAACGGACAGGATACGGATCAATCCGAATAATGTACAGCTATTTACTGAAAACGGTTCGCGTGCGTCCGTATGCGGTTCCTATTTCAACCGCGCGCAAACGCGAAGCGTCCGTAACGGACCCGTTCGCATTTTACCTGTGTAAGCGTTGTACACCGTTACGGTAGAATGCATACCTTAACTCTAAAAATCTTCCGAAGAATCTCCTGTTCCCCCACCTTTGAACTCTCAAAATGGACTAAATACTCCGAACGCGGGTTTTTTAATCAGTACGGTGGAATATCGTAGTTCAGTCCTGGCTCATTTGGCTTCGAAGTTACAGTCTGAAGAAATACTGAACGTTTTTAGTAGGTGTATATTTCCGGAATTTTTTCCATTTTTAACTGGCAATAGATATGAAAAATTGGATGAAGGCGAATCTCCTTTCAACATGGTAAAAATCGAACAATGACGGAAAACTTTACTTAATAACGTTGACATATTATAAGTTATTTCATTCGCAGAAGACAAGATAAGAGATACATACATATTTAGGATAATTGGGAATTGGGTTCCATTGAACAGATTTCAAATATTTCGAACGTGAGGCCGAATAAACTTTCGTTTCGTATCATTCTCTCACCCATTCGGTCTGTAAATGTCATCTGCTAATTTTTTTTACTTCATCTAAAAGTATTTATTGCCTTAATTTTTCAAATTCTGAAATGGAACTTTAAAAAACTCATATTGAATGCCCGTTGTCATATCTGTTCACAAGGTTCGCCAGTGTGTGGCAATCAGGATCCCCGTGAACATAAAGAAACAGTTTCAGAATACATAGTAGTCAGTGAGTAGGACGAGTAGACAATCAGAAGCGAGCTGCTTCTCCGCAAAAACATTGTATGAGCCAAGTATTCTACTATAAAGTGCTTATATATTTTCCAAGCTCAGACGGTGACAATTTGCATTAGTCATTATTAGGGCTCAGGAAAACATACCCCGTGATGTTTTCAATACTTTCTCTTTTTCATATTTCTTCTTGGTAGAGACTAATTAAACAAAGCTCACTTTTGAGTGTCCAAACAAAATTCCCAAACTGATGATAATACCAGAGTTTCAAAATTCAGAAAAAAGGGGAAGGTTTGAAAAATCAAATCACTTCAAAACCGGAAATTATTGTAATGCAACCGAACTAGCCCCAACAATCACATATCCCATCCAAACGGTTCAGCAAAACGAAAAGCATTACTGTCCCATATTCGAAATCAGTATAATAAAAACTGTTGTTGGTTCCAATCGTAATTTTGTCCCTTAACATGTGTCCTACTTTTTTCGAACAAAATCAAATTCGAATTCAGTATTTACCACGGTTGAAACGACACATTGTAATGTCCACTACGTACTCAACCAACTAATCTGCATACAATTCGGAACTATTATTCTGAAGGACGAAACGGTAAGTGACCGGAACTGTAGATTAAATTGAACGGCTAGTGGAAAATGACAAAGAATGAAGATCGTGAAACACATTGCTGAAATACCGTATTTGGTACAATAGAGCTTCCACATTGATCTTGTCAATCTCAATTCCTATAAGAGATACCAGACAGATGATAAATAATAAAATGCTGTTGAAAAACCACTAAATTTTTTTTCAAAACTTTTTTGCCGTTTCTAACAGAAATTGAGATTTATGGCAAACATTCTATCAATATGCAATTTTTATGTTTTTCACAGAAGTCGAGACGATTATGGTTAAGGAACGATTATAGGAGCAGCGTTCGAGTATATAAACTCAGGTGGTACTGATGTTTTTCTCATACTAGAAAGTTCAATATTTTCGAGTTGCAACCGTCACGGTGTGGAGAATATATAAGCATATTATATTGTGATCATTCCGCAATTGTGTGAAGCGCAGCTCATGACTGTCTGCCTGTCGACTTGTGCTATTCGCTTTATTCCGAAACAGTTGCTATATATTCACAGGGTTCCTTGAATGCCATGCACTGATAGCAAAGTGTGCGACACTGAAGAGCTCTATAAACAAATAAGACAACGAACATGCATTGTGGGTTTTAATTCAGATAATTTTAAAATTTCACAACATTCGGTTGAAAATTACTTTCAGATGAGTTGGGAAAAATAAAAATAGGACGTTTTCGAGCCGAATGGACACTTTGTGAAACTCTAATTACTTTTATCTAATTGAAAAGGAGCCATTTGAGATATTTTATTACTTCCCTTTGGAATTCAGCTCTTTCAAAAGACAGTTGTTTATATTCGATAATTTTCATTCCAAGTTCATCTCCCAATAATTTGGGTATGAAATGAGGGTTGCGCCTTGAGTTGGCTATTATCGTGTCATATTTCAAAACAAAACCTGTGAGCTACTCTTTAGATTGAAAATATTTGTTTAATTATACCCAAAAATCATCAGTTTTGAGAAGTCATGTTTCATTGTAATGAACTATGAATTTAATAAAAAAACAACAAAGATCAACAATAAGAAACATCAGTCAGGCAATGCTTATTTTGAGTTTTTCAGTGGGTGGGAGGTTCAGGTGCAAGAGATCAGAATTACTAAAAAAGAAGAGAGAGAGAGAATGAGGGCGTTAAGAGAAAGCTTCAATGAGAAATATAGAGTATCTAGTTCATACAACACGTGGTCAATTGTGTTAGTCAGCGAGGCACGTTATCCGCAAAGTCTAACAGAATGAATGATAAGAGAATCCGAAATTGTGAAACTTTAAACCTGAAGAGTTTTACGAAACAAAAGTGAGTTGGGATGGGTTCGGCAGCTAACCGGAATTTAAGGCAACATTTTCAATAAGTCACAGGAACAAAATTTGGTGAGGTTTTTTGGGAAAGATTTTTAAGTGAACTGCGTGAAGTGAATGGTTCGTTATTCATGTGGTCATGATGATCAATTTACAAGAAGGTGTTGCTGATGGTAGCGAAGAAGGAGAAGTAGAAGATGGACACGAGTAGACTCCAGCGGTGGATTTGTGGGTAGGTAGCCAAGCAGAACCTGAAGTTAGAATTGGTTTTCTGAAGCAAGACTAGGATGCGGGTGTTCCTAAAGCAAACGACAACTAGAGATTTTTTTAAACTCTGACTTTGCTGGAAAGCCTATTCTTCTTCTAAAAGCAGATTTTGGTATCTCTTGAACAAGTAGCTCAGTAAGGTGTAAAGTGACTTGATCTGCTTCGGCAAATTTTTCTGGCACCGTAACGGATATTTTTAAACAGTTGAATTCGCTTACTGAAAGGTTTTCTAAAGTTTAGCAAACAATCAGAGCACGGACTAGTCAATTATGATTTTTTAGAAGCCAACCGTTACGCCAACAATTCAGCCATATTTATCGACCTACTGCTCCCGGGCCGGCATAGACCGGCTGATAATTTGCGCGAAAATTGAAATTCCTGGGAAAAACAACATTTCGGCAGACATTCAATAGCTGGGCAGGTTGAAATCATCGGCCCTGCGAAAAAACTGCGCCCGGACCATGTTAAAGTTTTCTGAGCTGGTATTCTGTTTTGATATTCATAGTTTCAATTTTGAAAAGAATCATGTGGCCCATGTCGACCAGGAATCTGCCAGTCGACAAATATTGTGCCAATAAAATGTTCCAAAAACTTACAGAGCGAACCCCATTAATTGAACCATCCACGCGAAGTAGTACGTCTTTGGATACGTCTTGTGCCATCTCATCTCGTCACTTCGTTTTCTGATGTAGAAATAGATGGCACACAGCACCCAAATTCCAATCAGCAGATAGCTGAGAGCTACGGCGGCGCTGAAAAACATGAACTTGTAGTTATTTTGAATTACTCATATTGTTTGTTGCCTATTTCACCTTCTCTTCTCTTCTTTGTCATCAAAAATCATGTTTTTAATTTTTTTTTCAGAGCGTGTGCAAAGTAAAAAACCTTCTCGTTTCCAAAAAAACTGCTCACTACTGCGCAAAGATTATAGTTTCAATGTCTATTTGCTCAGTTGGAGTTCATAAAAAGTCCCTCTTCTTTTCCACAAAATGATCTTCACACTTTTTCTTGGTGGCAATTTTTTTCAATTTTTCGAATTCAATATACCAAAAATCCATCAAAAAAGATCTTTTTGATGTTTCAACCGCCGGACGTTTGGCTTTTTTTAAAGGCTTCAATTATTTTCAGCACTTACGCCTACACCCCGAATGTGTCTAAGCTCCACCCCCTTTCCACAAACATCATCATTTGTCAGATTCATTCAATCTGTGTTCACTTTTTTCTAAGCACACTGAGCACCGATTTTTCGGGTTTTCGCAATAGATTACAAACAAAGTTTTTGGGAGAAGTGTGATTTTTTTGTTACAATTTCTGATGATTTTTTCAAAGATACTATTTCCCAATGCTTTCACACTACTGAAAAAAAAGCACTTACTGATTGATCCTCGCTGGCCACATTATTTTGAGTGGTAGTCCGAAGGTGAGGTTTGTTACATACAGGACGACTAGCCATAATCCAATGACAATCTGAAATGATGTTGCTACCATAGTTTGTCAAATTTCCTATGTTCTATTTGACCAACCGAATTTTCGGCATATCGCCTGGCGTCTTCTTGTCGATTATCGGCTACTTGTTCCTCTATCGAACTGATTGGTTTTTTGCGAGCGCTGCAAATATTGAAGCGTCGAAGGAAAAGATAAAAAGACACTCCGGGTTCGATTGCGATTGTGTTTTGTGTGATATTTTGTGAGCGAGTCGTGTTGGTGTGTCTGATGGGTTGGTTGGGTTGGGAGGGCGGTAAAAACAGAGGGTATGTCGAGGAGGTATAGAGATTGAAGAAAAAAACAGGTGAGGTTTCTTCGACCCAGCCGATTCAACCAATTCTTCTTTTTCTTCAGTCTTCCCCCATTATTTTCTCAATTTTCTATTTTTCTAGTTCCTGGATTTTCTGCAAGGTTTTGAAAATTTTATTGGTATTTTTCGAAAGCTTGATTTGCTAGGAGCAGCTGGGTCGCAGATAGTCTTTTTTTGAACTAATAAATGTCAATGAGCAGCATCTTAAATTAAAACCTTCACTGAAAAGATCTTCGCGCTGTATACTTTAACCCAATTGCTGCATAATTTCTTAAGGGAAAACTTTTCAGCTTGCATTGTGATTCCATTGCATTTCCTAAATTTGTTTTACTTTGAAAATATCAATTTGCAAGCTGAGTAAGAGAACGAGCTAATTTTCGCGACCTAATGAATAGCTCCTAAACCTATTTTTCCAAACAAGTCTTCGTGATGGTTCAATTTATCCCTTAGAAAGTTGTTTTTAATTGGTTGACCGAAAAGAGTGCTAGCCAACTTTGAGCTCATATATCTCGGTTCCTGTAGAATATATCGAGAAACAATCAATAAAAAAAATATTTTTGATATTATGATAAATATTTTATCAGTATCCCAATTTTTTTATATCTTCAACATGAACCAAGATATATGGGCTTACAGTTTTCGGTTTTAGTGGTTTTCTATTAAAGTGTTTACGGTATCTATGTTTCACCCCTCCTAGCTAAGCATCGGACTGCAATTAAAAATCGGTCTTTCATGATTTTACTCATTTTCTGCCAATGATTTGGTTTTTGAATCTTGTGTGAAAATCAAAATTTCCGATTTTGGAGACTACAAGTATCTGATATTTTGTCTTATTCCTTCGCAAATATATGTCTTATTCCTTCGCAAATTTCGAATTTCCACGAATTTCATTTTGACTTAATAATCATACTTTCAATTTTTCGCCTTCACTCAGTCAGCTTCTTCTTTTTCCACCCCGATTTTTTAGCTCGTATAGCGTTTTCACAATTTTCGACAAAAACGAAAACACCGTCTTTTTTCAAAAATTGTCCGGTCCGCACTTTCCCTTCGTCAGATCATTTTTTGTCTCCTTGATCGCTTTTTTTTGCTGTCAAGGAAAAATCATGTTTTTTCTCGCTTCAAAAGTCTACACGTATAGGTGCGAACAAAAACGACCAAGGGCGACGGAAACGCGAGGGTGTAGTCTTATTGATTCTTCAAAATCTCCCCCTCGGCTTCCACCTTACGGGCCACATGTGTTTCGAAAGAAACACCACGAGGAGGAGGTTTTAAAAATTTTTAAGTGGAGAGGGAGAGGACTTTTGAGTGGATATCTAGAGGATTTCGATAATTTAAAAAAGAAAAAACGAACCTTGTTTGCATGCGGGCTCGGTTTCGATGTCGTTTTGCTTTTGGTCGAACCTCGATGCCAGAGTCCTGAAACCAGAAACCTTTTTTTTTGTGGAATTTGAAAGGCTAAAGAAAACGAAAAAACACACAAACTCGGACTAGGAAAAAGTACACAATGCTTGTCGGTGTTTCGGTGGCGGCAAAAAGCAACCAAGTGAACTAATCCTACGAGTTAGTGAGGCCTATTCGAAAGTTAATCAATCAACAGAAACTAAAACAAACCTTGCTATCCTTGGTGCATCCCGTCCCGAGTCGCTCTCGAAACGGAGGCATTCCCAATGCCCCTGTAAGCGAAACCATCTTGAACAAATAAAAACTGTACTGGTTGGGTGTTAGAAGAGGGCGGAGAAAAATGAAAAGAGCGGATTAAAAAAATGTTTCTAGAGGCAGAAAGCGGAGAAGAAAAAAGAAAAATAAATAAACATGAAATAAAAACCTTGGCAGAGTTTTTTTTCAGTTTTTCTTCTTTTTTTCGCATGTGAAAGTAAAAAAAAACGTAAACCGATATTTGCTTTTCTATTTCTTTATTCTCTGTTTTTTTTTGTTGCTTGATTTTTTACTTCTATCTGTGAGGGTGGAAAATAGAGGCGAAAAAAAAACAGAATGAGTGGTGGTAGTTGCAAAGTCACAGAGATATGGGAAAAATAGCTGAGAGAGAAAGAAGAAGATGGGATGAAAAAAAAACCACGGAACAAACACATTTTTCACTGACGAAAACATGCTGAGAGGGGTCATAAACTCGAATGTTGTTGTCTGTTTTTTTCTCCCTTTCGTCTTACTTCCTATTTTTTTCTCCCAGTTTCCATGAGTTCTATCTTACATGAGGAGAGAGAGATACCGAAATTCAAATTGAGCAAGCATGTGTGTTCGTTTCGAAATGAAAGTGGGTGTGTATGTAAGTATTAGAGTGCGTATGTATGTATTTTGAAGAGAGCGAGAGAGAGAGAGAGAGAGAGAGAGAGAGAGAAAAAGAGGGGTGAAAAGAGAGAATCGTTTCACCCTTGACTCGTGTGTTTACTAATTGCGAGCGAGGAAGGGCACATCGCACAGATGGGTGGCCTACCCCGTTGTCTCGCGGGCCAGAGGGCGCACATTATTGGTGCAAACACCACGACGCCACTTTGCGTACCTTCACTTTGATATATGGGATTTTTTAATGCGGTTTATCGCAGATGTTGCGAGTTTTTGCAAACTTTGATTCGATTTCCGCCGGAATTTCGAAGTTTTTTCTCAGTTCTTTTTTAAAAAAACGTGGTGTTTATATGAAAAACTAGGTATTATTGAACATATTGAGTAACTTTATAGCTTCTCTAGTAATTAGAAAAAATCTTGGAAACAGTTCTTTTTTCTTCTCAATAACAATTTTCAAATTCTTTCGTATGACTAGATCCTCTGATTTTCTACTCAAACGAACAACAAAAGAATAATTGTGACTCGAATTTTTTGTTTTTTTTCCAGTCTCACGCCATTCTAGGAAAAAATGATAATGAACTTAGCGAACTTCAAAATTCCAACTGAAAAATTCGAAAAAAATTCACACGAAAAACTCACTCTTTTGTATTCACATTCGTGGGTACAAATTCTTTGAAACCACAACTATCATCTAATGGAAGGTCAGAAGAAGAAGGCAACAAAAATGACTAGGCAATCGAATGTAATTAGATTGAAATGATGGAGAATGAAGATGCGCGAGATGGCGAAAAAATCCTGCCCCTGGTGTGTGAAAATAATCTTCAACGGCATTGATTTTTATACACCCCCCCCCCCCCTCCTATTTTTTGCATCTCATTTCCGCTTTAATGAGTTTCGAATTTTTTGAGAAATGCGAATTAGGCAATCAGAAATCGAATTTGATCTCATTACATCCGATTAAATCAGACCTGGTTCAATTTCTTCATAATCAGTTTTTAGCTCACTCTACTATGTCTCTCTCCCTCTCTATGTCGGTTTCTCTTGATTTTGATACTAAAAGGACATGTGACATATCCTATGAGAACACCTGATTCAATTATCGGAGAAACTTTTCTGCATTTCTGATCATTCCTTCTTGTTTCCTTCATCCTAATCACCTCACCTCCCACGTTCCGCCATGTGAACTTGAATGAAGAAAAAATGAAGGCTCTCACATCATCGTCCCGACTCATTTCACCTGCCATGATGATAGATATATGAGTCGCCTTAAAAAGGAGCCTAGATTCTTTCTTCACCAGACAAAATCAGTTCGCGGACGCTGTTCTTCCAACCAGAAGCTGATTTGTGTCTTCACGCACTCGCCATTTTTTCTTCCTCCCATCTCCCCATCTCCTGTCTGCCAGAAGAAAAGCAACCTACGTCAATCCGTTGGCTTTACTAAGAAGTAAAGCATAATACAACTCTATTCCTTCTTTTTTTCGCCTCCTTTCTTCTTATTTTTTTCATGCTCCGTTTGATTCTTGTTCCTCATTCTCGAACCCCCAGATATCAGGGTCTTCTTCTTCCTCCTTCTTATGGCGTACGTCCGGAGCGGCTTATCTGATTTTGTTCTTGTTCAAAATCGCATCTCTCTTTGAGATCAGACTGATTTTTGCTGTTCTATGGCATCATTAACAAAAAACGTCTACCCCTCTCCTCCTACTTGTAGGTCAAAAAGAGATAATGCTTTTTTTTGAAAGAAATGTCACGTATTAAGTTTTATAGACTTTTTTCTCAGAGTGATCACTTGCTCATTCATTCCTGAATTACAGATTAGGCCATCTCTCCCAGACAGAAGTTCTCAGAGTCCGAGAGAAAATATTTCATCCGCTGGATAGTGCGTCACTAGAAAGCTAGGCAGCTGGAAAAATTCTTGTTATGGTTCATCTGGTGATAAGGTACACGGAATGACTCAAAGTTTTCGAGCAATATCATTGAGCAAAGGCTGAAACAGAGTCAAATTTCCAATTGTTCACACTTATTCCAGTCAATGTGCCCTTTTATGTCTCGAAATGTCTCGCTTGCCCACAACCTAAACAAATTTGTGTGGGTAGTATTCAAAACTCATCCTATTTCACACCCACACCTCTTCATGGCTCGGCTGGTGCCAAAATGTCATACATACACAAACAAAAACTAATATTTCCGGTGGCTTCTTATTCTTCTTCTCTTCCATCATTGCCTTCCCTTTTTTGTTGTTCCTCATTTCAATGGTTTTTTTTGTCTTTACCTTCTATTCTTCTCCCGGTAAAACGCGACAAAGCAACCGAGAACCCTTAATACAATTTCTGTTCTGTACACCTTTTCTTTTCCGTGAATGTGGCTGATTTTCTGCTATTGTGAGCTATGGGGTTTCTCCAGTATCGTATGTCGTCCCGTTTTCAGTCCAAGACCAATCACCACCATCAAAACTTTTTTTTCCTAGTTTTTCTTATCAAATTGATGGAAAAACTGGAGTTTGTTCTTTTTCCACTCTGTCCCCCTGTGCAGCACAAAAAGGAGGCGAAATTCGCAGCGCAAGGAAGGTTGTAATTAAAAGCGACAAAAACCTTTCTTGCTCCTTCCCTTCTTGCTTCTTCCACCCATTTACCACTTCTCGTGTTTTGTGACATGAAATTCAGTTTTCGAAGAGCAACACAAAAAACATTCAGAGCCTTTTCTAGTGCCCGTACTCTGAACAACTGATTCTTAAGACCTTAATCAAATTGTGCTCAATGATACAGCGTTTCTTTTTTTTGAAGCCCTGTGAAACTCTTCTATTGCACTTGGGTCCCGTCAATCTATATCTTTATTTCAGTGTTTTTTTTCCTCAGTCTATTCGAAAATTCCTTTTCAGAGAGTTTGTTGAATAGCTTTCTTAATGTCAAAGATCCCATTATTTTTCTCGATATTAACAGCTGCAGTTAAAAGTGGACAACGTGAGAATCATTCCAAAAAACCGTGCCTACTAAATGACCTGTCGAGTGTTTGTGTGTGCTCAGTAATAAAATGTTTTTCTAAACATTGATAAAAACTGAGACGCGCTGATTTTTTGATGTGTGCAGCACTAGGAATGAAATTTGGTCAGATAAGAGAAGTTTCAAGTAGGGAGCAGAAAACGGTGCTCTCAGCTGATATGGTATGACATCGGAAGACTTTAGCTCAATATGGTAGAAATTGTGTAATTACAATGTCTAGAATCTGTTTTATAGTTTTTCTGGGATAATGGGACCGCAGTAACTTCTTTAACAAGGGAAATTCAAAACTTCATAACCCCAGATTTTATTGAAAATTTCAGAAAATATGTGGATATTTCTCAAAATTTTAGAAATTCGCTCGCAGTTTTTTCAGTCTCACAAATCGCGTTTTGATTGCAAAACAGCAATTCTCAAAGTCGATTTTTTCAATTTCTGGGAGGTTCCCCAACATGAATTTTGTAATTTACTTGATATTTGATAAAATTTTATATTTCTAGTGTTTTCTCAAAAAAAATTATTTTTTTCAATTTTCGAATAATTCTGAAATTTTGTGGAAAATTCCGAAAACAAAATATAATTTTTTTTCAAGAAAATGACTGAAATATAAAATTTGATTTAATTCTAAGTATAATACATCATAATTTACGTTCCAAAACGTCCGAGAAGTTGAGAAAATCGTTTTCCTCTGAACATGGTTTTCAGCACTGAAACTGATATAACTCGACCAAAACTGGAGAGCAGAGCACTTTCCAGAAGCGTCTAGTTAGGATATTTTTCAACTATCCCAAATTTTTTATTGAAATTTGCTTTTTGAAGATGTTGAGGTTCCCTTGTTAAACGATTTTAATGTTTAAAAACACTTTTCAATCATCTTAAAGATGTCTACAGCGCTAGAAAATTGTTTCCGTTACAGTAACTCATTTTCTTGCGGAGCACTCATTATTCGGTCTAGCCGCCCCGAGCAGTCCCCAAAAACACTTATTATCGCATTATCTTTGAAAATCGAAGATAATAGCTGTAATTGAGTCAGAAAGCACTTTCAGACAAAGATGTTGAATCGAGTTAGTCTAATCTCTTTCACCCCGCGCCATACTTGTTATCCTCCAACGAACACTATCACATCATTCTGTGCCCCCGACAATTCGTAATCTTCTTTCTCGCTCCCTTTCTAATTGGTTTTTGATATCCGAATTCTAAAGCTTCTAGGAGTCAATTCTCAAATTTCCCGTCTAGACATTTTATTTGATTTTATTCGTTCCTCTTTTTTCTGAACTGCTGTTAGCTATCTGCCTAATCATTTCCTAGTTCTATTAGCAGTTAAGTTCTATTAGCAGTTGAGCCATTAAAAAAACATCCAAGTAGTGAGGGTACTACTCCTCCTCTTCAATATTC